CAAATATACTTGTTGTTAACAAACATTCACAAAGACATTCTAACAGAATGCATTTATATAAATACATTCTAACAGAATACATTACAGAATGCACTTAAATCATAGTCTTTTCTTCTATATGCATAAACATTCTAAAGCATGTATAAATGTATTCTGTCAGAATTACTAGCAACGCATGTTTTATGTAATATTTATATTCTCATAGAATGAAAGTTGTGAATTGCACCAAATCCCATAAGTAAAAATTGAAGAAAATGCAAAAACCAATGAGTAAGTGCAGAAAAAATAACAAGTTTTAGACATGATAGCTCATATAAAATTCAATGCTTAGGTTGAATTGGAACTTAGGCATTGGAATCCAAGATTTCATTATAATAGAATTAGAATTCGTGATTCCATTCTGGCAGAATTACCCTCATCATATTAGATACTAAGGCGATTTTGCTACTGCTACTAATTGAAGATTATTCCTTTGGTGCTTGATATTCATGAGGAAGATAAGAGATAAATTTTTCACCAATGTCTTTTTCAAATATCAAATTCTACAAGATGGAATACAAACATGATAAAGTAATTGTTTTATATGTTATCTGAAACTATTCTATAATTCTATGTGCCTGAAGTCGGATGACTTCACCATCTGATTTTTTGATGTACTGGTAAAATTCAGGTTGAGCAAGTGAATCATTGACTTAAGACTTCACCATCTTTATTTGATGGATCTCAAAAAAATCAAGAATATAGTATCAAATGGGTAAAAAAAATTAGGGAAATTCAAACACTTACATATAGTGTTAGAACAACTTCCATGACAAAGCCCCTGAATGCAGCTCCAATGGGTTCACCGGTGGTTGAACAGATCGTAAGGAAGGGAGATCTAATATCCGGCAGGCTTACCTTGGTTCACTATCTCCGTCTCCGCCAGCCACCAATCGTGGAAAGGAAAGGAACGGAGGCAGCAGTGCTTCCGTCAAGTGGAAACAAAGGTTGCTCCTTCTTCTATCCGACAACAATCACGCAGGGAGGGAAAGACTTCGGTCCTCTGTTGATCGGAGAAGAAAGAAACACAAAAACAATCAGAAAATGGCCGGTGACTCTTAATCGATCGCAAGGAAGGGTTGCAATCGACGGTGGGAAGTCGCTGATTTTTTTCTCTTTAGTGGTGATGTTCCAGGAAGGAAACCAAGGTGAATGGTAGACATCAAGAGCGATCCTCAATGGGGGGGGGGGGTGTCTTTTGGCGGCTTAAGCGGAGGTAACAACCTCCTCATTTTGATTTCATCCTCCCGGTAGGTGAAAAAGAAGAAGCGTAGGAAATATAAGAGAGGATATAAGAGAGAGAGAGAGAGAGAGAGAGAGAGAGAGTACGTCAAATATATTTATTTTATTTCCTTATTTGCAGGAATTCAATTAAATGATCCATTAATTAAAAGTACAAAATGTCCAAAATACCCTTAACTGATTTATTTAATTATTTATTATTTCTTGAATTCTCATTGGTGAATTTAGGAACACAATCGTTGCTAGAAACATTTGAACGTAGCTCTCATTCTCTCTCTCTCTCTCTCTCTCTCTATATATATATATATATATATATATATATATATATATATATATATATATATATATATCACACTTATACAAAAACAAAATCATATATAGTTATTTATATGTTTCAGTTCTATCACATTTGATTTAAATATGTGATCTAATGTTTACAATTAAGAATGTTACCTTAGCACTGAAGTTAAAATAGAAGGCAAACAAGACACCAAGGGGAATTCCAACCATATAATAGCATCCAATATTTACATATGATTTATTTAATTATTTATTATTTCTTGAATTATTATTGGTGAATTTAGGAACACAATAGTTGTTAGAAACATTTGAACCTCTCTCTCTCTCTTTATATATATATATATATATATATATATATATGTGTGTGTGTGTGTGTCACACTTATACAAAAACAAAATCATATATAGTTATTTATATGTTTCAGTTATATCACATTTGATTTAAATATTTGATCTAATGTTTGACAATTAAGAATGTTACCTTAGCACCGAAGTCAAAATAGAAGGCAAACAAGACACCAAGGGGAATTCCAACCATATAATAGCATCCAATATTTACATATGCAACAAATGATTGCCATCCACATCCAACCGCAACCCCTATTCATTTTAATTTATCATTCATTAGGATAAGGAAATATGATATGTCATTTCTGATGCATTAATGTCTGAAGTCATATAATTTATTTTATTTAGAATGTGTTTGTTACAGATGAAACGAAATTGTTGGAAGAGATGAAATTTGATCAAATTAACAAGTTCTTACCGTTATTCGTAATGGCAAAATCAATAGAAAATAACTATACTTTGTTTTTTTTTTCAAATGTATATAATAAATTTTTTCTAGCTTAACCAACAAGAGTTTATTTTATTTTATGTTTCAATAAACCACTTGAGGTTTTCCTGATAATGAATTTAAAAAATTAATCAGAAGGATATTTTTAGGAAAATGTTTGTTTTTATAAAACAAAATTCAAAGTTTCAAAGGTTAAATCATTATAATAAATTGAGTTTAAACATGGAAATATCCAAACACTAGTGGTTTTTGTAGAATTTAAAATCTTAGGTGGTGATTTTTTAAAACAAATTCCAAGTGGTTGAACAGAAAAAAAAAATAGTGCAGAAAAAAAAAGGTACGTAGAGCCAAAAAATTTCCAAGTGATTTTTAAGGAATTTGACATGCTTTTTCTATTTTGCAAAACCAATCATTATTCATGTCTTTGGCACAACATCATCAAATGTCAATTTCTTATTTTTTTAGTGAGGCAAAAATTTACAACTTTTGTCTCGTTGTCTACGTTAGTCGCTATTACTATCGGCCTAGAAACGTAGTATGCTTGTTGTGTTCTAGTTTGTCTCATTTCATGTAAGAAATAGGACACAAAGAATTCTTGCCTGAAAGGATAGGTTGAATGCCTTCGAGGATGACTGGAAATACAAATAGAGGAGTAAGTTCCGAGACAGCCTTATCAACAATCTCTCCGTCGGTTAAAATATAGCTGATGTAATCCCTTGCACTAAGGAGAATGATACCACATATCAAAGCCACAATGAACGAGGTCGATGTCATCACTATAACTGCAAATGATGTCGATTTAGGATGTTCTGCACCTAGCTCGTTGCTAACTGAGCACTGTCATAAATATACATTTTTAGTCACCAAAAATATGAACAAATGAGTAGTACAGATAACCAACTTTTAAGTTAGCTTATAACATAAAATGAAAGCATCCATAGTAAAGAGTTTTTTCTAAAAAGGTTGACATGGCTTCGTCATGGCTCCGATACTTGTATTTGACGTTAAACTTTAACAAAATGTCGTCTTAAGTTCCATATGTATAAAAATTTAATAAAAGTAGAATATACATACAAAATTATTAATTATATATAAAATTGTCATCTTAAGTCACACCTTACAAACGATGTGGCTCGCCACAACTCGTAAAAGCTTGCAATTTGACATTGTCGCCAAGTCACACCTAACGTTATTTAAACCATGTTTTCGCTAAAGTAGTTAAAATGAAAAAAAAAAGTTTATATCTTTCACAATAGCTTTTCCATTTGATTATTATCTATATTTTGTTATTATAATTGTATATTTGTTAATGGTTGAATAATCATAGGAGATAGGACTCACCATTCAAGAAAAAGAAACTTAATTAGCAATCTTCTTGAATTTCTTTTCTTAAGTACGGGCTAACCAATTCGTTTGAACCTATGATTTTTGATTTCTTCAAGCTCTTATTTCAGTGAAGTTTCTGAAACGCGTGTGGCAATATCTTATTTGTTGAACATTTTTTTATGATCTCTGTGTAGTTGAAGCAAAGCCATAAAACAAATTGTTTTTTCTTTCAGAACAATGATCACGTTAAGGAGTCGAAGATCAAGGAAGGTAGAAATTGACGTTTTCATAAAATTAAAGAAACAATCAATACATAGCATTCGTTTTTTTAGGGAATTGTATTTTATTTTTCTGAAAATTAAATTAGTAATCAAAACAACATAGTTTTATGCATCGGGTACCTAAACGTATATACCCTTAAGGGTATATATATGGATGATCTCATAAAATTAGTAATTTTTTACCTTCATAACTTTTAACATTAACTTAATGTCTATGAATCTATATCCATACGGTGGTACATAGATATGATTTCATGTTGGAGGTCACAAAGGTAAAAGGGATAACTAATGTCCTAGATCTGCCAAACATATAGTACCGAATAGTACGCATTGTAAAACATTGACAAATACCTGAGACAAATGAGCTTAAAGGTAAAAAATAGCAACTTATTTGTCAAAATATCCCAATACATTGTTAAAATAAACATATCATCAAACCTTGTGAAAATAGTCGTGGGTCACAATTTGAAAACATACTCAATCTTATGAAAACAATCTTGATACATGAGGATATAAGGTTACATTGGGTTTTAGAATCAGTTGTAGGACCCAATATGATGTACCAGAAGAAGTGGAAATATGATCCAGGGTTTTATAATTGGTTACTCTTTTAGGTGATTGATGATTAGGGCACACGTGAGTTAGGGCATATAGGGTTACATGTTGTTAATCAACTCTATTAACGAAACAACATGGATATTAACGAAACAACATGGAATAGATTAAATTTGAGTTTATTTTGAAACAAAAAAATGTTAGAGGTCTAAAGCAAAAATAGTGAAAAATATATGGTTTGTTATGAAAAAAAATTAATTTACATGTAACCGACTCAAATCATGAAATAACGAGTAATATGTAAAAGTTGAGTTTTAAAAAAAAAGTTTTAGGTATAAAGAATTCAAAATGTAAATTCTTTTATAAAAAAATAAACACTAATTTAAACTAGTTACATTCAAAAGCATCCCAAATTAAAACAAAAGTTAATAATAGGAGTTTATTACGATCAACTTTCAATGAATTGCACACAAATGTCACCTTATGTTGCTCTAAAAAAATTAAAATATAGTTAAAAAACAATGAAATACTAAAAATAAAAAAGATCTTAATTGCTTAACAATGATTCCTCTTTTTACTTATGTTGCCATTGCTTCACTCGAATATTCGCAAATTTTACCTGAAATTTTTATAAATATGGGTAGATTATTTACTACAAACAAGTAAAATCATTCAAATTATTCTAAATTTTATGTTTATGAAAATTCACCTCTTTATTCCAATCCGTTCGAAAAATAACCCAACACAAAATCATTGCCTGCATCAACATACCGCCGACCAACCCCAACCATATTCCCTGCATTTTGTATACAAAAAAACAATTTATATATAGTTATATATAAGATTCCATTATATCACACTTATACAAAAAAAAATTATATATAATTATTTAATGTTGACAGTTAAGAACCTTAGTACCAAAGTCAAAATAGAAGGCAAACACGACACCAATGGGAATTCCAACCATATAATAGCATCCAATATTTACATATGCAACAAATGATTGCCATCCACATCCAACCGCAACCCCTATTCATTTTCATTTTCATTTGTCATTCATTAGTATAAAGCACATATCATTTCTGATGCATTAATGTCTTAAGTAATATAATTTATTTTATTTAAATGTGTTTTCTTTACAGATGACACAAAATTGCTGGATAGGATGAAATTGGATCCAATTAAAAAGTTCTTACCATTATTCGTAGAGGCAAAGTCCATAAAAACTAACTATACTTTTTTTTTTAATTTAAATAATAAAACTTTTCTAGCTTAACCAAGAAGAGTTTATTTTATTTTTATCAATAAACCACTTGAGGTTTTCCCGATAATGAACTAAAAAAATTAATCAGAAGAATATTTTTCAGGAAAATGTTGTTTTTATAAAACAAAATTCAAAGTTGTAAGGGTTAAATCATTAAAATAAATTGAGTTTAAACCTGGAAATATCCAAACACTAGTGGTTTTTGTAGAATTTAAAATCTTACGTGGTGATTTTTTAAAACAAATTCCAAGTGGTTGAAAAAAAAGGATAAGTAAAGGCAAAAAATTCCAAGTGATTTTTAAAGAATTTGACATTTTTTTTTTCAAAACAAATCATTATTCATGTCTTTTGCACAACATCATCAAATGTCAAGTTCTTACCTTTTTTAAGTGAGGCAAAAAATTACAAATTTTGTCTCGTTGTCTACATTAGTCACTATTACTATCAGCCTACAAACTTAGTATGCTTGTTGTGTTTTAGTTTGTCTCATTTCATGTAAGAAATAGGACACAAAGAATTCTTGCCTGAAAGGATAGGTTGAATGCCTTCGAGGATGACTGAAAATACAAGTAGAGGAGTAAGTTCCGAGACAGCCTTAGCAACAATCTCTCCGTCGGTTAAAATATAGCTGATGTAATCTCTTGCACTAAGGAGAATGATACCACATATCAAAGCCACAATGAACGAGGTCGAATGTCATCACTATAACCGAAAATGAAGTAGATTTAGGATGTCCTGCACCTAGCTCGTTGCTAACTCTCACACTGTCATAAATATACATTTTTTGTCATAAAAACTATGAAGATATGAGTAGAACCAATAACCAAATTTCAAGATACCTTATAGCTTAAAATGAAAGCATCCATAGTAAAAAGTTTTTTCCAAGTTTTTTAAAAGTTTGACATGACTTCGTCATGGTTCCAAGGCTTATATTTGACGTTAAATTTTAACAAAATGTCGTCTTAAGTTATTAATTATATACAAACATGTCGTTTTAAGTCACGCCTTACAAACGATGTGGCTTGTCATAGCTTGTAAAAACTTGAGGTTTAACATTACCGCCAAGTCACGTCTAACGTTATTTAGACCATGTTTTTTCGGTAAAGTAGTTAAAATGAAAAAAAATGTTTGTATCTTTCACGATAGCTTTTCCATTTGATTATTATCTATATTTTGTTATTATAATTGTATATTTGTCATTGATTGAAATGTTGGATAATCATAGGAGATAGGACTCACCATTCAAGAAAAAAAAACTGTTAATTATCTTCTTGAAAAAGTTCTTAAACTTCTTTTTCATTTTGAAGAGGCTTTTGCTTCTCATGTTGTGTATGCTTTAATTTTAGTGTTAATAAATTCAGACATCTCATTAGAACAGTGTTTTAAAAACCGGTTCGAACCGGCCGGTTGAACCGGTCGAACCGGAAACCGGAGGTGAGGACGGTTCAATTTGGACCAGTTTTATAATGATTTCCTGACCGGATTGAACCGGCCGGTTTTTGTAAAAAACCGGTTCAACCGGCTGAATTGAACCTGAATGGACCGGGTTGAACCAGACAGTTTTGAATTTTTGTGTTTGTTTTGGGCTTCCTTGTTTGATTTTGGTTTCTATAATAATTGTTTTTATATATTACATTCTATTTACGTTTGTAATACGAAAAAGATGACAAGGTTTGTAATCAATGTATGCAGGATAATTAAAAACATATAAAAATATAGAACCGGTTTAACCATCCGGTTGAACCGGTCAAACCGGTTGAACCGGAAAACGTCACCCGACCGGTTCAATAAAAAAACCGGTTTTTAAAACATTGCATTAGAAGCATATATATACCTTGCAGCAGCACTGAACCCAATTGAAATCGTGTAAACCCATACGAGAATCCTTGAACAAACAGCCAAAGCATCCAACGCTATTTCCGGATTAGGAAGCAAACCACCGATCAAAATCAATACCTGAAAATATCACGCCTGCAGACACAACATCAATGCCGACGACGTGGATAGCTTAAAGAACGACCAAAGACCAGAAAACGCCTCCACACTAAACCCAGTCCACGTCTCCTTAGTCCGATCACTCTTGAGGATATACACAAACTGCGCCAGCACAATCACCCACCATGAAAAACTCAAAACCAACGCGCCACCCAGTAGCCCCCAGTCGAAGACGTACATCATAAGATAGGACAACGGAAGGTGAACAAAGAAGATCCCGGCGGCGATGTAGGTGCTGGGGTTGACGATGCTTTGGGCTTGAAGGAATTTTTGGATTGGGAAGTTGGCTGCGTAGGCAAATATCTGCGGGATGAGTCCGAAGATGAACAGGGAGGCTGCGGAGGAGATTTCTTTTGATTGGCCGAGTAACATGAGAAGGGATTTGGAGTAGATGTAGATCAACAAAAGAGGAATCCCTGTCAGCATTAAAAGTATGGTGGATCTTTGAAGGTAAACACCGAGCATTCCGTATTGCTTAGCTCCAAATGCTTGACCACATAGAGTCTCCACTGCACTCCCCATCCCAAGCTACATCAAAAAAACACGAAATTATATACTCTATAGTCTACACAAAATAGGAGAAGGTAGTAGATATTGATTACTAAAAGCAGTTGTAATTTATACCATAACACCATAAACAAACATTTGTACACCATTGTTGCCGAGAGTGGCGGCTGCGAGCTGAAGGGTACCAAGGTGGCCGCAGAGGATTTGGGTGGAGATCGACGTCAAGTTGTTCAGCAAGTAAATTAAGACAGTGGGACCAGCTAGCCGGAATAAGCTAACAAGTTCAAGGGACAACGCCTTTTTGTATCGCCGGAAGGAGGTTAAACTGGTGTCCGATAGTATCTCCTCCAGCTCCGAGCTCACCACTTCCCCTGTGGGCTCCGGAACCACCTGCGAGCTCCGGTGATCGGAGAGAATGTGTTGGGTCAGCTCATCATTTTGGGGCTTGTGGTTGGTCCTTTGATCCATTGGCTAAGCTAGGCTGATCCGTTTTTAGACTCTACTGATTCATGCTTATTTCTATCTTATTCCAATCTTAGGGGCCCATGATAACATTATCCCTACTGTTATATATAACAATAATAGAACATCAATCATACACCCTTTAAAAAGTAGTTTTTTGTATTAAATGGCTTATTTCTAACATGTGTGTGAAGGTAAACACAACTACACCCATACCATACACCCATGGGGTTTATTTAATTGATTCGGATTGTTTAAATATATTTCATTTCTAACATTTTATATGTTACAATATTAATACTTCAACTTTTATTTTATTTTTTATTTAGACCTTCTTTTATTGAATAAATAATTTTTTTTATCCTTATTATATTTCACATATAGATCTACTCATTTTAAAATATATAATTATAATTTATGTATTATTTTTAATTAGCTATACCATAAAATAGATCATAAAAATACCTTTAACTCAATAACAATAATAAATATATCACGAAATTACAAAATTACAAAATCAATTAAAAATAATATTACAATACGAAATAAGCGTAAATTTACAAAATGAACTAAACACCAAATCATAACATTTATAAAGGTGAATTTTTTAATGATCATTTGGTCGTAAATGTGAGAAAATCTTTAGTATACAATGCCCGAAATTAATGTATAGTCTGAAATGGGTGAATTTTGAAAGTATAGTTGTGCCCAAAATGTATAGTTTGAAATATATTTTTGTCAGTGGTTATGTCATTATTTATGATAATACAACTACAAGAGCAAACTCTTCTTAAGACACGTCTATGATTGTTTAAACTCAAATAAAGTAATTAAATGAATTGTCAAATATTTTCCCCTTTTCGTATTATAAATTCAATTTCTTATTCTTGTAACCTAGATAAATTCTCTACGATATTTGAGCTTAAGTTCTTTACTTATTCTTTTCGTTCATCTTTCCTTCATTCATAGCAAGGTACATATTATATATATAACTAAAATGCAAGTTTGAGTTTGAGTTTGTCAGTTAAAGTTACTATAGCTAAGAGTACAATACTTTATGCACAATATACATGTATCCTAATGGGTGAAGTTCAACTTTAATCCCTCAAATTTCACTACAAGAAATGTTGGCATTACCGGCGACGTCTTTAGCGGCGACGCTGGGCAATAGCGGCGACATGTAATTGACGCGTTACATTACCCCCATCCGTCCGATTTGTTTTCGATCCAATGATTGTAGAGGAAAGCGAAAACGCGCTGATTTTTTCCCTCCAAGGTGTCGCCTCTATTGCCCTATTGTCGCCGCTAATACCTTTGCGTCGCTGCTATTGCTGTCGCCTCTAATGCCCCTTACAGATAACCCCACCTAGTTCCCTTTTCTGTGACATTTTTTTTCTGTTCTCTCGTTTCCTTCTCTCATTTCTGTTTTTGCTTCTCATTTTCATCACTTGGACTAGTCGACTAGGTGGAGGACGAAAGTAAAAGCCGGTGCTAGCCCCTCCTGCCGCCACACCTTCCCCCAAAACCTCCAAAACCGGCGACCCTTGAGCTCAATTCCGAAATTGCCCACATTCAAGGTCGAAAAATATCGAGTTGGGAAAGTTGATATGGGCAAACAAGGGAAAGCCCGTGAATTTGGATTTCGACAGGGAGATCACATATTCCCCTGTCGGGAAGCGTGGTAATTGGTTCACACATGAAATTGGGAGGTATTTGTGGAACAACGTCCCTTTCAACGTATGTGGTTGGGACAATGTTTCCCCCGCCTTAAGGAACGCATCAGTTGTGCATCTAAAGGTAACTTAGATACAATTTTAAGTTTAGTTGTGATTGTTATTTAATTAACTAAATTTTTTGTATTTTGCAGAATAAATTTGATTTGGATAAGGTTAACATGGATCCGGAGCGTGCTCAATTGTTGCGGAGCATTGATTCGAGTCTTGCAAAAGTTTACAGAGGCCGAAAAAGTAAATCTCATTCTTATTTTAAGGAAATCGGGGGGCCTGCAGATATCCCAGCCGCATTAAACAACCCCACCAGGGTATGTCACATGAAAATTGGGCGAAGGCAGTCGAACATTTTCAAACGCCAGAATTTTTAAGGCGTTCGGCGTCAAACACAGAATGGCGTGCAAAACAAGTAGTTGTAAACAGAGGGGGGTCGAGCTCGTACAACAATGCATGTTTCAAAGAAGTAAGTTATGATATATTTAAATATTTATTTAAAGTATAAGTAATCTAATTTTTAATGTTAAATAGGATATCAGTCGAATCGAATTTTTTCGTAAGGCTAATTCCAATCGCCAAGGGGTATTTTATAGTCTTGCAGTCGAGCAACAATACGTAAGTGGTTAACTTGTATTTTCATATAAGTGTTTATTCGTCAAGGGTATTTAGTAATCTAATTTTTATGATTTTTATTATTTTTTGAAAATACAAAATGCTTTACTCGAGGAGATCAACCAACGAACCCAAGCTACTTCTGAAGCAAGCGGTCTAACACCCACTGATATAAAAAACTGTTTTGAAAGAATATTGGGTGTTCGACGCGGACATATCAGAGGCATTGGGCGTAATCCCCCTATGGTTGTGTCCATGTACGATCAGGAACAATCAGTGACACAAGAACAACCACAATCACAGGTAATTGTTAGTTTAAGTTGAAATGTATAATGATATAATGGAAAATACAATGCTATAATGGAAACTAGAATGCTATAATGATATGTTGCTTATGATTTGATATGTTGATATTTTGTAGTTTGGTAAATTTTGGAAAGTAAATGCTATAATGGAAAGTAGAATGCTATAATGATATGTTGGTTATGGTTTGATATGTTGATATTTTGTAGTTTGGTAATTTTTGGAAAGTACAATGCTATAATGGAAAGTAGAATGGTATAATGATATGTTGGTTATGATTTGATATGTTGATATTTTGTAGTTTGGTAATATTTTGGAAAGTAAATGCTATAATGGAAAGTAGATGTATGTTTAAGTGTATTTGATATGTTGATATTTTGTAGAATGGTATAATTTTTGGAAATTATAATGCTATTATGATATGTTGGTAATATATTTTGTTTTCTTTGTAGTTGAAAATGCTGCAAACAATACTAAAGGACCCGGCCTGTTCTGCAGCATTGGAAGAGTGGTTTCACTCATTGCCGCCACCAAATAATGAAGGAAATGATGAGGACGAGTAGTTACTTGAGGATTTTATGAAATGTTTTGTAATTTGGAAGAATACTTTAGGTTGTGGTATGGATTAATATTTTGGATTGATTGTGTATGGATTAATATTTCTATAAAAAGTTATCAGATTTTATAAATGTTATATTGTTTTTTATAAATTTAATGTTAAATAAACAAAAAAAAAAAAAACAAAAACTGTTTTTGCGGCGACATCTTTTGTGGCGACATCTATGTATTAGCGGCGACGGTGAAGTATTAGCGGAGACATCTTTTGTGGCGACGAGGACCCTTTAGCGGCGACTAGATGTGTATTAGCGACGAAGCATCAGCGGCGACGCATTTGCAGCGACAGGTCGTCGCTAAAGGTATTAGCGGCGACAACCCGAACCTTTAGCAACAACACCCGTCGCCGCTATTGCCCAGTCTTGTTGTAGTTTTTGTATGATTTGTCACTTGAAACACCTCTATTATGTAAAATGATATTTTCCATCCCTTTACTTTTTAAAATATCACTTTCACCCCTCCACCTTAAACTTTGTAAAATATCACTTTAACCATTTATTTTTTAACTTTTGTGTTTATCCCCCCGTACCCGTAGTATATATAAAATATGATTCTCTCTTCTACTTTCCAAATAAACAACAAAAACACATAAAAACTCATGGCAAAGCACAGGCTCAATTACTAATTGTTGTCTATATATCATGTAACACCGATTTCTCGGTATCTCCATCATTTTTAAAAGTAAAAAGTTGAATTTGAGATTTTAGGTCTGTGTCGGACGTAAGTTGAGCTACGTTGGGCGTAGGTTGAGCTACGTTGGGGATAGCGTCTCTATGTACATAAAACCTAATCTCGAGCTTTAGCCCCTATATAATGACATTAATTCCTAGGGTTTTGTGTCATTCTCATCCCCCACCCTCAATAAACATAATCATAGCCTCCTTGCTTGTTCTTTATTACTTTTGTGGGATTTCGAGTGTTTCTTGGAGAATAAGAAGCTCTTAGTGTGTGGTGTGATTTTTTTCAGCTGAAATTTTTGATGGGTTTTCTAGGTTACATCTAACATATTTGGATAACGGAATTATCATAAAATCTAATTATGGGCACATGCAACCTAGAGATCTATGTCTTTACATATTATGGCAATATACTATTGAAACTATCATAAACCTTAGCTATAATCGAAATTCTCAAGTAGAATTACATACCTTTAGTGTTACAATCGTATGTATCACTCTTCAATCCTTAGTTGCTCTTTAGAAAGCTAGCAGCCAAATCATGGCTTCCTTACATGGATCACACCCAAACCTTGTAAACTAGAAAACAATTTAGAGAGGGAGGAAAGTGGTGGAATTTTCGGCCTAAGCTTCACAAGAGAATGGATGGCAGAAAATCATACCCCTTGGGGTCTATTTATAGTTGCTTGGTAATTAGGATAAACCCTAATTTGAATATTAAAATATTTGGATTTAATCAGATATCCCTATTAGCTACGGAGGCTTCTAGAACCCTTCTGGAAGAGCCTCAAAACTGTACAAGTCCAGGAGGGTTCTAGAATCCTTATTTAATTAAATATTAAGCAATTACTACTCAACCCTTGCACTTTAATTAATTCCAATTAACCAAAAATTAATTCCCAGTTAATTATGATTAATTCTAAATTAATTCTAATCAATTTTTGATTAATTTATTAATCATAAAATAAATTAATAAATTATTTCCTCTCTCTTTCTAAGTCATTTCTAGCTATTTATAGATATGAGGGCAACCTAAAATGGATTTTACTTTTAATCATAAGAATATACCAATTTAGTTAAGACCATAGACACCTTATGTTAGAAAATCATACAATAGTTATCAAGACTGAGAACACACT